TTGTATCTAAGTACTTATATGAACGTTTGTTGTCTTGACTGGTACATGCTACCCAAGGTTCAGTTTCATGCTCAAGTAACTCTGTAACTGTATGCGCGTCTTTCTCCGCGGCCAGTTGTGCAGAGTCAGACATGGTCCAAGTGGCTGTAGAAATCCGGCAAAAATCGAGGTTGTATGCTAGAGCCCTTGTCTTGGCAGCCTCCTAGAGCGACTGAATCACGGTTTTTCAAGTCGCGAGGCCTTTCTGAGCGACTAGCGAGATACAACAGAATCAAATACGAGGGGTGTACGGTATGAGCTCAAGCTCCAAATAAGAAAGGCGTACACCAAACTTCTCGCTATAGGGTGCCCAGCAAATCAACCCACGGGCTTCCAAGCCAACCAGTACAGTGCAATCTGTAACCGCTACGACCCAGTGTGAAGACTCGAGGGTATGTAGGAAAGGCTAGAGTCAAGCAGTTCAGTTGCACAAGACAAACCTGCATACAGCCAATATAGCGACAGGCTACTCTGCTATAATTCTACCACACAAAGGGCCATTTTTCATAAGCGAACCAGGTCTGAGACAACAGGTGGGGGGGGAAGTGTCCACGTGACGCTGAACCTGAAGCCCATTGCAAGCCCTTATAGCTCAGTGGTAGAGCGTTGCACTTGTAGCCTAATTAGTCGATTCAGATTACGTACCGGATGCAAAGGTCCATAGTTCAATCCTGTGTGGGGGCATTCTTTTTTATGAATAAAAACATCTGAAAGTTTTGGTGAGACATTGCTGTGTCTTTTTCCGGGTCAAAACCGAGAGTGAATAATGTCACGTGACCTCAGGTAAATGAACTGACTTTTTGGGATTTTAAACCTAAAAGGGTGGACCACTGAGTGCCTAAACCTGTTTGTAAATTGACCTAAAACCTCCATACTTAAGACTTGTTCATGGTGCTGGTGTTTGAGCATGAATCAGATGTAAGGTGCAGGAGGTTAACCAAGCACGTGACACACAATTCTTTTTCTTTTTTTGGGGTACATATTTAAAGAGTTACATGAACGATACGTCAAAACACTCTGTACAAACCAGAAAGCAAAAGCCGAAGCACGAAAGAAGTGAGGGGTAACAACAACAGACTGGGTAGCTTAGATATATTGGTATCATGGGGGCTGAGAGACAGAAAGAAACAGTGTAAAGCATCAGACGGCTCAAAAACCAAAGAAAGTACAGTCTAATTACAGGATCTGAAGGCAGAAGATCTTTTTAAGAAAGAGACCATGGCCCGGAGGCTGCATGTGGCATGCGTTAAAATGAGTGTGTCTGTGCTGTTTCTCCTGCATGACATTTGTTCCATTCTCAATATCTTTTATAACACACCATTTGCTCCACACTGAATTCACTATTTCGTAACAGGGGGTATTATAAGCTTATGTACGATATATGTGGTTTTGGCTCAACAGGGGGTAGACATCTGTGGTGTGATTTAGGGCTGGTCTTACTGATCTTGCCACTTCCTATGTTGGCACCCCGGTAGCTCATTGTCTGTCACTCGGACGTGATAGATATATTGTACAGAACCTTTTGATGCGCCAAAGAGCGATCTGTATGAATATATGCGCACCATAACTGGCGCCCTGTTGAGTAATGCGCGTGCGGGACAACCGATAGTTTGTTTGGGTGGCGTCACACAAACTTGGCCACATAACAGAGCTCTTGGTATAAGTGTCGTTGAGCCACCTGTGAAACCTCATCCCACACCACCACCGTGGCATATCTCCTCTGGTAAGCCCCGTCTAGACTAACCTCTGGTTTTCTTGCTTGGCGTTAATTTCCTGGGAAATAGAGCCTTTAGTTTTGCCTCCAGCCGAGATCCCACAAGAAGATCAAATACGCCGGTAAGACATTCACCTACGTGTCCCCGCAAAGCTGATGTGTCGTAAAGGTGCCGCCATGCTTGCTCCTGATCCAAACTCTACCTCCGTTTCCGCTCCTCTCACACCCATTCCTGCCCCTGCCCAAATTGAATCTCCCCGCCAAGGGAAGCAAAAGGAAGTCGACAGTAGTAGGTCCTGCACGCACTTGTGGCACCGCTCCTGCCGCTCATTAGCCAATCTATTCAGACTTTGCTCCAGACCTTGCAGAAGAGGATGATACAGCCCGGCTCCATCGCGAGGTTAGAAACAGTCCCCCCTGGTTGCTCGTGGCTAACTGCCACCCCCAAAGCTCGCTTCAGGTTACAAGTTACAAGCGTGTGAGATCGAAGCAGTCAACTGGTGGGCAGATTTGGATGATGAAAAGGTGGATGAATTGGAAGAGTTGTACGGGGTGAGTGCTACTAATGTTGAAACCCGAGAAATTATCCTAATCATGTGCTAGTATGAGCCGGAGGAGCTACGCATCTACGCGCCTGAGATTCGCGAGTACATGTCGATCGCACAAAGCCTCACCACGGACGAGGGGGTCCTTCGCCCCCCGGATGCACCAGTATCCGTTGATGAAATCATGCAAAAAATCATGACACCTTCGATGCAACAACGACTGGATGGCTATTTTAAGCGAGTCGTAGCGGGAGAGCGACCCAAGGTTCAAGGTGATGGCGTTGGTAGTGATGATGTCACCGACGCCGAGGTCGATGACGTCGACTCTGAATAGCTGTATAGCTGTACAACCGAAAACATAAAGAACGTGCTATCGTGTCAAACTGTCTATTTTCTGTGTGCTATGTCATTCGTGTACTACTTTTTGGAGCACTCCGTCTGTCCGTAGTTAATCTGTGTGAATTCTACCATTTTACTCTTAGAACTGTGAGGGATAGGCTATTGCAGCGCGTAAAGCTATTGACTGGTCCAAAACTTCCACTGTCGAGATCTGCTTGTGTGGGGTCGTTTGTGCCCGGAGCGCGTAAGCATCCGCGATAGGTCCTTCCACCGACCCCATGCATTATATTGTATGTGCGGCTACATCGTCGTTACCACATCCTATTCGAGGCTTTGAGGCCATACGATGGAATGGGCAAACTCACCTTTGGTTGGATCGAGAATCAATTCAGTTTCAACCAAGATTCCTTCAGGTCCAACTCCCGGGCCTAGTCGTTATTTCGGTCAGGCGGACACTCGGCGACCAGATACCGGCCGTGGATATAAATAGGCTTTGCAAAACTAGCGTGGTGACGAGTGTTGAAACGAGTACAAGTAAAGCTGAGGGGATGTTTGGCATTTTATCCAAGTCCGAGGTTAGTATAGCATCGATGAG